GCGTATAACTGGATACCAGCTTGTTATGAAAACTATCACATTATTAAACGACGATAGTAGACTAGTAGACAGAAAATCCTGACTGCGTTTTGAGATGAGTCATCAGGATGTGCCAATGTATAAAGACCAGAGCTGAGATCATGCTCACGGATGAAATGTCATTGTAACCCAATAATCTTTTCAGAAACGCGTAGAAAACGTTTGGGTAAAAATTATCAACGAAATGGCCATTCTTGTTGCCCAGGGACATACTTGGAACCAATAAAATCTCGCCTAAATTTTAATAATGCTCGTGTTTTCTCCATTTCATGTATTTTAACACTGTCTGGTCAGGTTGTCCTGAGGCTTCTCTAGACAGACTATCAAAAGCTCTAAAGCGGGCTGCCAGATTGATTTTAGGTGTATCAAATGGTGCTCCTTCATATGAAATGTTCACAATTTTGAAATTCAAACATTGAATATAACAATATTTAAAATTTAAAAAGTCAATTGTGACTTAAAAATGCATCAAGCGTATGGTACATCATTATCTTTCCAAAGATTTGATTTTGGCTGACAGTGTTCATTAATGTTCTACTAGGCACGCATCCAGTAAAACTAAATGAGTCCCAAGACAAAAACAACTCTTTCTTCAAAACAGTTTTATGTATCTGGCAGTCAACAATGGATTAAACTCCCAAATGAAATAAAAAATGAGACTTCTTTTTCTATGTTCAAAGCTTGTACGCCATTATTTGAACTCTTCAAATAATTATCATTTTAGATTTTTTCCAATGCTGGAAAATGTTTACTTTATGCTATATTAGCGTATAACTATGTCAATTTTCATACTTTATTTTGTTAGTATGTATGTACATTTGACCTGTGTCTTTTAATGATACTCTATATGCATGACCTGTTGTGCATTCTATGATAATTTGAAATATGTATCTATGATAGATGTGTCATAAATCTAATATAACATTTTGTAAGCAATCATGTATTTTAACACCTACATGTGTACCCTGTTTTACTAGCAACATGACCCTGTGGTAGAACAGCCTTGGCTAAACAGGTTCTTTTATATTCATGAAATACAGTTTATTTTTAAATTATTATCAAAACCAGAACCACGGATAACGGTCACTCCCAGATTGTTATGAATTTAATTCATCATTAAAAAAAAAAATCAAATCTAACGATCAGGAGATTATATTCATTGTTCTTTATGTGCATAAACCATGTCTATATAACATATAACATATCTGGTATGGACGAATGTAGTGAGAAAAATCTGATATCATAGTAGTTCGTGTAAACACGGCGCAAAACAAACTTCAGGTGACGCGGTATATATTCGTATTTATAACCAGGGTACGAACATTTTGTATCAATGTTCTGTCACATTTCCACCCGGTTTCCATCTTTGACTTTTTTGTTATACCTGGTCGAGTTGGTGTGACCCCGTCCGCTATTTCGACGTACAGATACACCACTCGAAGTTTTTTTAACGCCGTTTTTACACGAACTATGCTGACATAAGATTTTTCTCACTACATTCGTTCAGATTTTTAGTATCAATTTACTTGACATCACGTATTTAAGATGAATTATTTACTATAATTAGCCTTCGGTTACTAGCTAACCGAGAGGGTTTTCAATTACAACAGCATATTTTATATAACTTCTTTTTGTTTATGTATTTTGTATTGTATCATTGTCTCATGGTGACTGCTTTATGTTGTGATATGTAAATTTCAATGTTTCTGTCTTGACGAAGGGGCAGATCGCCCTGAAATTTTTAGAAATGTCTTTGTCTGCACTGTCGTTATTACTCATTTGCCCATATACCATATTTATACTAGTATATATGCATTGAAAGATAGGTAAAACAAAGCCATAAAACTAGTAACATTGCGATATAAGACAGGAAACCTTTATCTTAAAGTAAGTAAATCTTTATATCCAGTATCACTGGTATACAATTTGCAATTAAAATTCCCCATTTGTAAAAATAAAACGGTTTAAATAACGCGGAACCTTGTGACATAACAACAAATCAATGCCTCCCAAGGATATAACAAGAATATCATATATAATCCAATGCAGCTAATGTTATTATTGCCATATATAAAAAATTCATTTAAGCAACTGAACATTCCGATTGAACGGTGTTTCTTGTTTTACTAACACTCAGTTTGGCTTTATGCTTTATCCAGGTTGGGGCATGCATTTACTGTCACTGTAATGGGGTTTTTTGAGTTTTTCTTAAACCTATTTTATTTATTCATCATACCTATTGATTAAAGAACGACGATAGTTTCAAAACATTTTATTATTTAAAAAATGTAAGTTAATATGATTATCCCAAAAGATCCATATCTATTAAGTCTTCAATCTTCATCGACGACACTCGCTATGTAAATCTAGGTCAGAGCAAAGTAATGTCATGTCCTGACATCGATATCACACAAAGAAATAGCATATTTCCCCTGAGATCATGATGGCCACCATACAACTGGTGCTGTACGTTTTTCCGTCAGCAGTCGACATGTATCAGGATTAAAACTACTTTCTGTAAAACCAGGAGGATGACAAGTTTCATAGAACATGTTTTTAATTCATCTTTATTTTATCACTTAGCTTGTTATTTAGCTCGAATCCCTTAACAAGCGGTCTACGTTCAGGTGTTTGTAATCTTACCTTATGAATCATAGTTATTCTTTAGTAACACTGTACTATATAACTCGGGTAGGAAATAATGTTTAACGTCCTGTCAAATACCAGAAACAGATAAACAGTGGTGCTCTTTATAGTGATGGTTTAGTGAGGGTCGAAAATCGTTAAAGCACGACATCGTTATTGCGCTACACAAGATGAACATGTATCCACACAGACCCGTATAACGAAAAGGAAAACCCTCTTTAGACTTATATTGGTCTCAAGACATTGAGTCATGACTCATATTATCCGCTGTTGCGATAGTGTCAGATGGGAGTTTTTGTTGTCTGAATAGAATTAATTTCCCTGTCAGATCGTTTGCAGTCTTGTAACTTTTGTGGGTTATTTTTTATGACCTTTCCAGTTATAGCCATTTATCTAAAGTGTTCACAGGATCATGTCCATCCTTTTACATCACCATCATTCGAAATGTGTATCTTATTTTTAAAGTATGTAAAACCTTAGTTGTCGTCCTTCCACAAAAATAAATATGGAAGATATTGATATTGCTTGTTTTGTTTTTATTTTTCAAATATTTGAAATAATTATTCTAGATGTGAAGACTACACATCTGTTTAACTACAGTGAAATTTACGTTCTATTGTTTCGTCATATGTTGAATTTGACGGATTTTGATGTTAATTATACTTGTACAGTGAAAACATAAAGGACCTAACCGGGATGATTTCAAAATCAGGAAGTATGACGTATGAATGAGTTCAATAATATTCATCACTTTAGAAACATGTACATGTTTGTGTAGAAAGAAAAACTTTGATAAGTATGAATGAGGTATATTCACTAACACTCAAGACAATTATTACAACGAATTTGGCTTGTGAACAAAAGCACATAGCGCATACATAGATCACCCAAGTCGGAATGGTGCACTATTCAAACGACAACAGCTACTGTTTAAACAATATCACAGAAATGGCGGTTTCCAAACGAGTAAAGGTTGGTTATCATGTTTATCTTACTTTCGCTATTTGATTTACAAATTGTTTAAAGACGCGATTTTTACCGAGTGTCTTTACAATTTGAAAATAACATGCGAGCGTTAGATAAACATAGTAATCAACCAGAACTAGTTTGGAAATCTTTTTTCTCCAACAACATTCTGATATTATATGTTGAAAACCATAAATTTCTCTTTGGAACACATTATTTCTGTTTCTGAAATTACGTCAATGGTGGTACCCACTAATGTTGCGTGACATTACATCACGTATTTTGATTTGGAAAAAAAAATGTATAAATGATATTTTTTTTAATGCGTAGTGTATATGTGCTATTGAATCGTTTTAGCTTTCATTTGGATTGATAGGGATTGAAGCAGGATTTTCCAACAGTAAAAGATGCGAAGCATGAGAATGGAAATATTAACTTACACAAACATATTTCTGATATTTCTAAACATAAAAGATCTTTTTACACAACCAATACATTTTTCTATGCGACGTTTCGATGACTAGTACGATATGTACACTGTCACCTTCATCAGACAAATGACCAATGAAGCGTATGCACACAAAGGTGTAAAATGTGTACGAGTTGTCCATAAAATCGATGTCGACTTCGGCTACGCTGGAAACGTATGTACAATAGTTGTGATATATGTACCGGAATGACTCAATTCAGCTACGCTTTGTTAACGCTTGGTCATAAATGTGCGAAAGTCTGTGCCCTAAAACGGGTAAAAAAACCAGTGTCAAAGTAAGGAGAAGAACAAGAAAAGGTCAATCAAGGATAAGAACAAAACCAAGTAGTCATTCCGTATATAAAGGGTATATCCGAAACCATCCAGAGGATATATCACGGTCATGGCATAGCAACAGACAAGAAGCCCCACAAGACGCTTTGCAATATCCTGGTACACCCTAAGGATAAATCACCTAAAGAAAACGTCGCAGAATGCGTATACAAAATTGGATGCAAAAACTGCGACGCGTCGTATATTGGAGAGACTGGAAGGCGATTTGGGGTCCGCCTTAGTGAACACCGGAAAGACACAGAAACCCAAGAAGGTAGGAAATTCACCAGATCTGAAAGAAAACAGTCGGAGTCCCAGATAAATAAATCGGCAATCACAGACCATGCCACACAGAAAAACCATGTGATTGACTGGGATAACTCCAAAGTTTTGGACAGAGAGAGCAATCTGTTCAAGCGGCAGATAAAGGAAGCCATCTGGATACGCCGCAGTGGGCCAGTTCTAAATCGCGACTAGGGGGCTCAAAGACTCACGCACATCTATGACCAAGTGTTAACAAAGCGTAGCTGAATTGAGTCATTTCGGTAAATATCATCGAAACGTCACATAGAAAATGTTATTGGTTGTGTAAAAAGAACTTCTCATAAAACATATTTCTGGTTTATATCTATTCAGTATTCCGAGTATGAGCAGAAGGAAAACTATCACGAGTCATCACATATCAATAAGCATTTATCATCATTTCAATAAGAAATTATTCAGTCTATTGACTTGACGTGATAGCGTTTTCACATTCCCGGTCGTTTTGTGGGGAGGTAATGACAGGTGATCTACGAGAAGATCCTGAAATAGAACAGAACAAATATAACACACACCCTATATAATTAATTCCTAATTTTAAAATGTATCATAATTGTTATAAACATGCAAAAAGTACACCGTCTTCCAAATAAATTGAGTATCCTTCAAAGGGCCATAACTCTGCTAAAACTATGCGTAAAGTTCTGAGCCGATTACATGTCCATGTTATTTATGTATTAAATATTTGTATCATATTTCATTTCAATTTCAACAGATTTTATTGACAAAAGAAGTCGACAGGATTGGACATCAGGCATTGCCTATATAAGGCAACATCCGGTGGTTAATACATTGTTTACATATATTAAAGACATAAGCATTATAGATACTCAAAGGGGAAGTAACTCCTCAAAAGCAGATCATATAAAATTGATGTGTAAAGATAGTTACCCTTATAATTGAGGACTAGTAATAAACAAGTTTCCCAAAAAAAGATGTATTTGTATAATATTTCAGTAATATACATTTATTATAGAACGATAACAAAAATATATTAACGCATTAGACTTATTTGCAAATCTACACACCTTGTGCTGCTGGTGGGCTTTCATTGTTTTCTGCGACAGGTTGGCTGGGAAAAAATACGAAATGTTAAGCATGAACTAATTTGATATATATTGTACAGGAATAATCATTCATACTGTTTATTTACATTTTCATAATATTAAACTACAAATTAAAACACCGATAAATTTCATTTGACAAAAACTGTAATGTCCACATTGATAACCGATTCTGTAGAAATATTTAACGGATTGCGCATTATAATCTAAGGCAAAGATACCAAGGACTCTGTGTTGTATGTAAATGATAAGGGTTTCCAATTGATGAAAACAATTCTCGGTGTTACTTGTCCATAAACGAAAATAAAGGGTATACATACAAAAGAAATACATTTATATGCTAATTTTTTTCCAAAAATTGTTCGCCATCATGAATCGATATCCGGACCTCTTCATCATAACCCTACTCTTTGCACTTGTTGTGTTACATAACCTTGGATAATTTCAAAATGTTTAAACCCACTTTAATCCTCGCAACCTATAACTGTCTTTGAAAGAATACAGAAAATAACATTTTATTATTTGCAACGACTGTACACATTTGAAAAGTGGCTAGGTAATTTTTTATAATATTATTGTTAATTGCTACCGTTCATTTCCTATAGGATTTGGTTAAAAACGTAACATTTACTTTAAAAATTAATCGGATAAGCACTGCATACATATCACATGTTCTACCTTACTAAGTCTTGTTCCTCTGATGGCGTCTGGATTTCCCTCCGACAGCAACATTTTGTTGCCGTTGTTCGAGTTTTCCAACACAGTAACGCGAGTAGCAGTGTCACTAGGGCAGCATACGGACCAAGTAGGTATACAATCCAGTTCGGATAATAGCCTGACATATAGTAAAGAAAGATGAACATTTAGATACGCAAAACGCTCCTGGATTACTTTTGGAATGAGCTAATGAACAGATTAGCATTGTATGTTAAATTATTTTTTTTAAACTTTTTTGGGGTAATTTTATATATCCATTTAAGATGTATCTATTCTCTTTGACAAAATATACAAACTTAATGTCTATATAACCTTCTTTAATATGGTTTTAATTACGGGGATTTCAAAAAGAAAATACAAAGAATATAGCCAATCTTGCCATGGCCTAATTACTCCTTAGTAAATATATGTGCTTCAATGAAGAAAACAAAATTATGATTTTTTTTGTGTTTTCAACAGTGACACCCCCAAAATTAACACAACCTACCAGATGAGTAGTTCTTTAGTTTCTCCATGACTACAAATAGATGATAGATAGTATAAAAGCAAGGACACAAAGAGTACTTCCACAGTACTTTCACCTGTTTTGAAATCATCAGGGAACAATAAAAAGTATAGTAAGATAGTTCGGAAGAATATATATTATATCTAAAACATAAATGAAATCAATGTGAAATATATTAAACCATACAACTAGAAACAGTTTTGCAAAGATGACTTTATTTTTTGATAAAATTCAAGTAAATATCAAAAGTGCATGTCATTGTTAGTCAATGGTATCTAGTACCTTGCTTCAAACTTGTTACCTGAAAATAATAAGGTTTTTTACCGTGATTGCATTTGAAGAAACACTGAAGCGGTCTCTCTCCAGGAGCTATCGGTAGCTTGCATTCATCTTCGTTGCAGTAATCACAACGACCGTTTAGTGTGCAAAACTGTTCCAAAATATTGCACTTTTCAGTTCCACACTCCACCATGATTTTCTCAGGCAGATCCTCTATACAGGACACATGGTTCCCAGGGATGACACCAAGCAGCAGCAGTAGAATGGTTATATATTTACCTCCATCCTGACCCTTTAAACAATAAATGATAGCGTTGGTATTTAGACATGTTACAGTTTATTTAACAGCTTTTTTTCTACATGTCCCATCGCCTTATATTGTTTCCATACAATTAATTAAATGGAGGAGATGTTAGTTAATGATGACTGTAACACAAAGGGATGATTAACACATTCCGTCACTTTGATTAGTTAAAGTACTAAACTATAGAACATGGTTCCTTGAATATTTCTGACCTTTGATTTTAATCGGCTGCATTACATACATTCATCCGTGATGTAATGATGGATAACGATAACTGAATGTTAGAAAAGATATCGACAAAATGACAAAATAATTGCTTTGAAAATATAGTAACGTTATGAAGCTGGTGGTTTAAGATGGTTCTTCATGATTTTACTAGTCGCTTTAAAACAACAAGCATGACCACTCGACATTGTCATAAAAACGGAGTGGCAGAAGAAGAAGCTCTACAACTCGTGAACATGGCAATTCATATTTACGATGAGCTAGGTAAACATGACATGTAGGTCACATGTTGTGAAGCCTCTCTTTATTATGTTTTGCTCGGACATAAAGATGTTTTGAATGGAAAGGTACCAAAAGCATGCGAGAACTTTAAGGAAGTTAATTTATTGATTTAATAAACCGAAAATACCCGGAGAATTGTAGTAAGAAAACCTTATAAATATGTCCGTTGCAATACACACAAGCTTCATAATCAACTCGATAATAGAGGGTCTGAAATATTCCTTTATCTGATAATATAACTTTGATAAGATTGGCAGAATGCATTCGATTGATATGATAATTAAGTAGTTGTTTCACGTGTTCAAATGTATTAATCCCAATAAATAAACACCCTCTGAAGACTTCTTTGTTATTTTCGAGATAATATATAACAACAGACTAGGCCTACTTATCTGACTTCAGGATTCGTTCCCTAGGTAACACACAAATTGTACCGTCAGTCAATATTGAAATGCCTAATATTTCCACATATGCAAATTAAAAGTGATAAACAAATTACATTTATAACAAATCAACCAATTGGGAATGCATTCTACCATATTAACTTAGGTATAAGCATTTTATGTAATTAGAATTTTATCTATACATGATAAACTGAAAATGATGTGTACATGTTATGAAACCGTTTGAAACTCTTGCAGTGTGCACATTGGTCTATTACAGTTAATCTTTAAACGCTATACGATATACAAAGGCGATTATTCTATTTAAGGTTTCAAATGCATCTATTTAACATTTATAATTGTATGCAACACAGTAACAATTCCGTTTGGGGTTTTTTCAGCGCCCTTATTTAATTAAACAAAGTGATTTCTCGTTGATAAGTTCATAGCTGTAAACATAGATTTTAAAAAAAATATATGAATATAATTTATATTATTATCCGTTGATCAAAACCAATCTCGGTGTGTTATTTGAGGGATATGACCGTTGTTTACAACGTGAGGTCAGAGGTCATATCGGTACATGTAGTACTGTTGTTATTACTACACACTTGTTTTATTGAGCCATAACAACATTTTGAGTTGGTACTGTTATCTAGGGGGCTGCAACACAAATGTAAATATCTTAATCTAAATGATACAGCTGTTAAGATTTGAGTTACTTTTGTGTGGTGATAGAAATCTGCCTAGAGAAACTAATATAACTATATTCAGAAATATATACAGCTTTATAAAATCTAGCTACAGGTTTTCACTTTTAACTACTTCCAATAAATTGTACATCATGTAATTGATCTTTTACTTAACTTTGCGAGGACAACGTTACCATGCATATAGTTTGAATTTGGTCAAATGTTGCAGTTTTTTTTATTTGTTTTGGAAAGGGGCCTTAATATTGTTGTTACAGTGTATAACTTGTGCAAAATTCTACTTGCTTATGACGGCAATATAATATGGTTCAATCAATTAATAAAGAATGGCAATCATCTAGCGTATTCATAAAATGTTATGCTTCATCATACAGCCAAATGTTTACTTTCGGATTTAAACAAAACAGTTACAGCAAACAGTCTTGTTTATTCTGATCAAGAGAATGTAATAAACTAGCATATACTACGTAACTGTATATCGTTTTATTTTGGTTCTTAAAACATGCTTTTCTATTACAAATTACTTGTAAAACATATAACATTCAAACCCACTGGTTTCCCATAATACTGAACTTTTTACCTGGTTGTCGCCATTAGCTGATCTCGATAACATATGTTAAAAATAATTTTCAAAAGAAGAGAGAAATCATGCAACAAACTTACGCGACGGACTTCCATCCTCCCTCCTTTTGACACAAAACCTGTAATAAAAAATACACATGTAAAACCTCTAATTTAACTCGGATTCCGCTTTCTACGCAGTACGTCTTCATATAAAATCTTGTCTGAACTCGTCTTAAACACAAAGTAGGAAGACTTTACGTACTGTATATAAATATCTTCTTTTATAATCACGTGATTGAAAAGAACTTTGATACACGACACTATATTCATATAACATACCTTGCCTGACATTGCCCCGTAGACAAAGCTTCATCAGTCATGAACTCCATATCTGTAAAAAAATATAATCAAACTTTATTTACACGCAGGGTAATTGTGTGCTTTCTTTGATTGATGCATTAGTATACATATAGCATTATCTCTGGTTATAACCATGGCGTTTTTATACTTAACATACGTACATTATCATATATTGCAGCCATATGGCAGCTTAAAACATTCTTGTGATGCCATCCATTGTTATAATTGTCCATTATATAGAATATGAGTACTGTTATATGCATAACTGTCCAATATGTTACAAAAACTGTCCAATAAGATCATAAAACTGTCCAATATTTTAATATTGTACAGTTTGTTAAAAATAACGGACATGTTTTTGGACCAGTTTAAGTAGAACATAGAAACTGGAGCATGACAATATATCCATCAAATTTTAATTGCATTATTGAAACAATACAAAATTGACACAATGGTGATCAATCCACTGGATATATACAGGTAAATCCACTGTTACAGATACAATGTACTCCCTTTAAGAATCTAAATGACACCTCACCCGCGCTAACAGATAACTCCCTATTATTAGTATTAGTATTACTGGAGTCAGCAAGTTTTAATTTTTTCACTGGTGATGCCATATTTTCAATTCCTTGCACAATACTGCTAACATTTGCCAGCTGCGCATCACATGTACGCTTATATGAACGAATGGCCGCTGACCGATGTCCAGTTTTTTCTGCCACTTATTGTTCGTCGAATCCTGCCTTATAGAGGCGTTTCGCAGCAGTCGCTCGTAGGGAATGGTTAGTGAAATATCCTTTAAATCCAGCCTCCTCACACAACTTCCCCACTGTCTGCTGCAAGATATGTACACCCAGTGGAGAATCACAGTACCAACAGTCCGGGCTGGGGGTCTTCTTTGGCCTTAGGTACAATGCACTGCATTTTCCAGTTTTTGGTCTGGAAGATTTTTAAATTGTAAACTTTAACAGTTAGAATGAAAAGGAAAATTGAAATTTTGTTTTAAAAAGGTAAAGTTCTATTTTCCAACATAATTAGGTAAAAAAAAAAATGTTTCGAAATTCTGGACACATATGTATATATATTTTTTTCAAATTTTAATTTCAATAAATGTGCTGTTATATTTAGCCACTGGATTTTATGATAAGCGTTGCGCAATAACAATACATCTTAATACGGTATGATTATATTATATAACTTCTGTATTTACCTTAGGCTCATGAATTTCTGGTATATCTTCACAGGACATTGGTCTGGAAGTACTGTGTTTTCATAGGCCCTTGTAACTTTTGGTGTCACCTTACGATGGAGAAGTCCTCCGGCATTAGTTTTTGATACATCTTCTCTGTATTCCAAATATGTTTTGCCATCAGAATCCTGTTTCACTGTAATTTGACTATAAGGTCCACATCTAAGATTCCTATGTTCTTGGCCTGCTCTCAATGCAAAATTCAAACCCAGTTGATACACTAATGTGTTTAAAAGTTTTTCTGGTGTGTCTGTCCCCATGACACCTTTCTCCCACATCAACTGCTCTTGTTCTTCCGTTATAATTTCTGCCTGCTTTTTGTTTATTACGAAACCTTGTTTTGCGAGGTTTTTCATCCTGGCGTCTAGTACCCCTCTCAGTCCTGCAAACTCTGTATCATCCAAAATATTCACAAAACGTCCATTTTGCCGAAAATAATGTTGTATAGATATAATTAATTCATACAGTGTGTTTGGTCTGTACACCTCACCATTCTTATTTCGAACTTCAGCTACAAAATAAGTCAGAGCCTCATTAATATCGGAGACAGGTAAATCCAGTAAATTGTTAGGAAAGTTTTGCAGCTTTCATTGTTTTTGGATTGTATCAGTCGCTGTTCAATCCATGAATCAAAAACTTTTAAAGCCCATTTCGTTTTGTTTTCTGTGTTTACACATGATTCTCCAGCAACATTTTTTTTCAAATCACCATCCTGCAAGTCGTCGCCGTGTTTCAACTTCTTCAACAACTTGAGTTATTTCTGTCATTTCATCTTCCGAGATGTCTGAGAACATCTCACTTAAAACGTTGAAATTCGGCCGAGGTGTAATATTTTCCTTCTGTAAATCCAGGACATCACTTAATATCTCATCTGTATCTACAACAGTATTTTCTGTTGTAAATGTTGACTGTGTTAAAAATACTCCTTCACTATCGGCACTCATGATTGGAATGAGATAAGTACTATACCTGGGAGTATTTCATACCTGGTATATGCAGTTGCATACAAAGCATGCAAAGTGAGATTGATATACATGACTGACCTCAGTATACAGTCTAGTTGAAAAACTGTCCAATATGTTATGAATAGCTTTCCCGGTAATTGATTCATAGTGAAACTGTCCAATATTATCACAATGCACCAAAACACTGATCATAATTGATACAATAGGGGACATGTTTTAAGTAAGATATAAGCCGAAAACTGTCTATTGTGTAAAATATTGGACAGTCTGAGGCGCGTAACGATTTTACAACGGAATACACATCATAATTCCCTCATGCGATCGATTTACCTTTTATGTTTGATTTTTTCTATGCAAGAATAGTTCTAATTAATTATACCTATTTCAACGGAATGAGCCTGCTTGTATGCATGTATTTTGTGTATGAAGTGTAATTAGCTGAAATACAATTATATGGAAATATTCATCTGAAATATTTTTGCTAAATATAGAAATTAATCACTAAAACTGCATCTTCATAACTTCAGAATCATAAGCTTAAGACAAAATATGGAGAGAAAAAAATATGTTAATTTTTCATTTTTTTTTTTAAATTTATGAAAAAGTGTGGTCAGTCGGTCTCTACTTAAGCTAATCATACCAAAGACATACGGGCCTGGACCACTTAACTGGTGATATTCTTTTATTTGTAAAAGGATTTTACAGCTTTGGTAGGGAAAAAAGTACACATATTCGTGCCGACCGTATTTAACAATGACATTTTTTATACAGTTATTTAAGTTCCTATCATTTAATCTTTGTAACAGTGGAAGTAGGTCAGGGTAACTTATGAGAGGCAGTCTGTGCCAGGAAACAATCTGTCAATTATCCTGAACCTGCGTCTTTAAAAGTTGCTTAAAAAGAAAGAAAAAATATATGGTGGATGACAGAGAATTGACGTCGGACAATGCAACATACAATATGGTCGGTCACCTGTAGATTTCCAATTTCCCATATTTTTCTTCTTTTACTATGTTTATTCAACGTTTCGTAAAAATTTCTTACAAACCATGATTTGTAATACTATCGATAAATATGTGATAAGAGTTCACCTTCCGTATCTTCTGCTGTAAATTTAATTTTCAGATTTCTGAAACTTGTTTTGACTGATTGACAGACGCTTTGGTATTAAAGAAGGTCATTAGTTTTAATATCAAATTTAAGTGTGTAACTCATCAAAATTGAAAACAATATATCAAATCAAGGAAAGCACATACTCCTCTACTTCAGCCGCTTTCCTCGATCTTTACTTACCACTACAACATGACCAACAGAAATGATGATATCCATTTACTACTAAGCTGTATGATAAGCGGGACAATTTCAAAGATCCGATCGTGAACTTTCCCTATCTTTATAAAATCATTCCTGCTCCCCCTACATGTTTACATATCCCTGTTGATTCAGTACTCAAGAGCTTGCTTCGAATATCATGACTTCCGTGATAGCTTTCGCCAGGAGCTAAACAGCTGACAGGAAAACTTGGCAAGTGTTATTGTCGCCATCATGATTTCAGGGGAAATATGTTATATGATTTTGTGATATGACGGTCAATCTTTTTTATTATGCTCATTAAAGTGCCTTACGGTTGTGTTACCACCATCCTAGTTCTCGATATGAGGACGTGATATTACTGAATATCGATTAAGATTTACATGGCGGGTATTATCGATGTTTATCTTGTTCATAATTACTCGATGTTTACCTTGTTCATAATTGCTCCAGTTTTATCGATTTCGAGTTATGGTTTTTCTGACACTTCGAAACTTTCTTGCTTTTTGTTAGGGTTTTTTCCCTAATAAGCAATGCTATACTCTTTCATCAAACCAACTTCTAATGAAACAAAATTTGAATTATACCAAATATGATATTTTTGGACTTAAACGGGCTGGTCGGGGAAAAAATATCATATTTGCTAAAATGTCATACACATGTTTAAAATACCTTCTTATGAAATATACCGATTCAAATTTTGCTGAAANCGAGGTATCAATACCGTTATATATAACAACAACATATAGGTAGGAATACTACACTTGCATCATACATGACCTTTGAAAACAATTATTTACGTATAGTATTGCTGTCTTGTCCGCTAGTTGAGTCCGACATGGCACATGTTATCTTCACTGCCTCACTTTCGAAACAACCACGTGACATATATAAATAGATCTGCGCTAAATTTACGCGGGGCTTCCCCGAGATTTCAGTGGTCAAAACTGGACATTGCAAGCAGAACTCGACCATCATATTGCCGTGGTACAACTTTTGGAAGGCCAGAGAACGCATTTAGACCATTTATTTTGTATTTTTTCCCCGACCAGCCTCTTTAAATAAGGCTTTGAACACATCTTTTTCATTTTGTTGTAATTTACATATAATAAATGCCTGTGTCCAATATCTGAGACTCAGAACTAACAAATATCTTTCCACTAACGTCCACTCTTTTCTGACAGGCAAGGAATTAATCATTTGAGCAAATCCAGTGCACATTTCAATAATTTATCACATAGTTTGAACAGTGATGCCACGTAAAATGGTATTCATCACAAGCTGAATGTTCTTGATATTTCGCTAAATAAGAAACTTACACAACTAAATATCTAGATAAACACTGATAGCGTAGCCGTAAAGTATGTCTATTTTTATACTTAACTAGTCATTAAAAGAATATTTCTGTTCATATGTATCTGTCCTAAAATTACCAGGTTTGTCGTAACCATTTCAGATGAGAAACTTGATTTTATCTTTACCTTGAAAGGAAAAGAACGGTCAGAAAACCTTTTTTCTTAAAGAGTCACCACTTCCACAATATGATCGTAACATCAAACATCATCACTTTATGCTTCATAACTACATTACATATATATCGCTTCATCATTATATACCCATTCGGATGAATTTAATTTGCCTTTTTCCTAATGACGGCTTTCTTGAATGAGAAATTATAAGTTAGCTTGACATGTTGCAGAGAAATATACAAGTAATGTATAATACAAATAGGAGCATTTCAATCATCAGGAATGTTTTTTTAAAATGTCTTATCTTTTCTTAACAACAAATTACGTTTCCTTACCATAAGGGTATTTTTTTCTAATACCGAACCACAACTGTATAGATCGTCAAGCGTATCTGCCATTGTTGTCATCTGCTTCAGTCATCCAAAACTCGGATGTTATATGATTTACTCATTAGATGCTACCTACAGACGAACATTTTGGTGAGTATTCTGCTTTTAATTTAAATATGATATTAGCCGCTAGATCATCATAAGGTGGGGGGTTTTATGAGCGAAGATTATCTGGAAAGATCTAGCCTACTATTATCAATATTGCCAATTCATCCCTGTACTCCAGATGTAGTAGTGACGTCATCAATTGTTATGACGTCAAATTACCTCCAAACAGGAATGAACTTTTTTTCTTAGAAAGTATTTCTTCCAGGTACTCGTTTGTCTGTATTTCATCATTCTTAGTTCACAATATGAAACTTGTATGCAAGAATCATTTTACCACTCATTCCACCATTCATAAGCGCATCATGATTTTCGGGCGAATTTAATGCTTTTACTCTGGCAAGGAAAGTATCTTATTTACACATATGTTACCAGAGCAGAAACGAGAGCTACAAAAGAAAGTATACTCTGATGGTTTATTGCTTTTAGCCGTTGTCGCCGATTAGTCCAATATTATGCAAATCACGAGATTTCGTTTAGTACCGTAAAGCTACATTTTGTATGCAGTCGAGCTAAAATAATCATCCATGCTGACTAACCCACTGACTAGTGCGTCACCGTCGAGTCGGATGCCTATATCTGTTTAACCTATGCATGTTCATGACGTCATAATTAGTATGACCTCATCACTATTTGCGTACGTCTCTGATGGGCATTGACTGACTGTGAACGACTGATACTGATGCGGCACAACAAGTTTGACGTTGTCTAGTGCAGGTACTTAAAACAGCTGAAAAAGTGTCAGTTAAGCTCTGCTTCGACCCGAATGCGACCAATATTTAACAGAATTATGTGAATAAACAGATTCTCTATTTCGGCAAATTTATGTAGCATACATAACTTGGAAGTGAGTCGTACCTGAATTTTTAAAAGATCAACAAAGCTGTTATTTTGCAATACAACAAAAAAGGGGGTTGCAACTGTATGTCCATTTCTTAATAACTTGATATTGTTGATATTTAAAATTCAGGAAAATAGGGACAAATTACATTATTTATATAAATTACAAGCCTTGAGGAGTTTTCAGCCAAGCTACTTTTTACCCGCACTGATCTATCAAGAAACGTATGAATTTCCACTTTATTTCATATGTTATATTTTACATACATCATCTCATTAGTATACATTTATTTTTGTAGTCTATAATAGATTAACAAAATAAACCAAACAATGGCTGACATATTCTTTATTATCCGCCATGATAAACCGCCACTCTTACCGAGTTCGATTCTTAATAAAGCAAGTTACTTGATCTTTTACGAAACATCATATTTTAAGAAATTTTAATCAGTGCTGTCATCTGACCACTCACTAAGACAACTTTAAACTATGTAGTATTACAAGAGCCAGCTAATCGCGTTTTTGTTGGATAAATAGTGAAACATCTCATTCTATTTCATGAAACAGATCGTTACATCATTACTATAGTGGTTTAGAAATTTTCAAATCTTATAATATACATCGTGGGTAAACCGGATTTACAATTTATGTGGAATTATTTCACAATAGGCTTTTGCGTAGTTAATATCTTCACAGACACAGGTAAGGAGGTAGTACAACTAACCGCTATCAGTATAATTATTACATTCGGCATATTCACACAATAGGTTTATTGTACTTTTTTTTTCTCTATTCTAATTATGTTTAGAGAATGGTATATGTATATATGTATGTACCTATAAATCGAAGGGCTTTTGGCTAATACATGTGCACGATATGGATAGGCCTTATTCGATGTTCCCGAAATCATGCTGTGACAGCTGATCTTGTCGTCCTTAGTAACCTGTTGTAATTATGATGTCCTTCTATGTATGTACTTATGTTTTTTCTGTTAATTTCAAATTGTCTGTGTGTATGTAATACGGTAACGCTGGTCTGTTTGAACTCTCTTCCTGTCTTGATTGAACTTTGTAACGAAAAGTACTTCTTAATATATGTATGTACCACGTGTCTCATCCCCCACCTGTTACAAATCATAATATTTGATAACGGATATAGATACAAAGAATTTAAATCTAATAATGGGACACATTGGAAATCGGAGGTGGTTTTTTCTCCTTCATTCATTTGTATTAATTAATGCCATTTCGAATTCCCAGTATGTTTTTAGCCTCAAAAATGTATATTTTCACATGACATTGAACTTAATCCGGTGCCTCTATGCAGTCTTGATATTGCTCACCTTAATGTTAGATCATTAAGAAATAAACTTGATATTATAGAAGTTGAATTAGATAATAATGATATAATACGTCTAACAGAAACTATCACCATAGATTCCTACTCACATGACAGACTGGACCGAAGATCAGGCCTGGGTGGTGGAGTACTAATTTATCACAAGAACACTATTTTTACAAAAAGACGAACAGACTTAGAACATAATGATGTAGAATTAATTTGGGTTGAAGTATGTATTGAGTCTCGTAAATTCTTACGATTTGTATTGATAGACCAGAAAAGCCTGTAACTTATTGGGAAACACTAGACTTTGTATTTGAGAGAGCTATACATACTAATCTAAATATAGTCATAACAGGTGATATTAATGTAAACATGATTTACTTACAACCTTATAGTCATCTTGGTAGACTAATGACCAAATTAATCTTGTAAACTATGTTGATGAACCCGAACGCATAACTCAAACATCTTCAACCTCATTAGATATTGTTTTCTTAAATCGTTTAAACTTAATGTATCTGTCTCCACCCATTTGTAGTGACCACTCTCTTATTCAATTCAGTATCTCATTTCATGTCTTTAAACAAGAATCTTATCAGAAAAAAATATTACTCTATCAGGAAGCAGATTATGAAAAAATTAATAGGAACTTAAATATGATTGATTGGGTTGCAATCTAACAATTTCAAGATAGTAATGAATTTAATAATACTCTTTGTAATGCTATTAATCAACAAATATCCTAATGTATTCCTAGTATAAATGTTACAGTAAGGCCTAGAGATAAAAAGTGGATGACAAATGAAATTAGATTTAAAATCGGACAAAGAAATGGAGGGTTACCACAGGGCTCGGTTCTCGGTCCACTTTTGTTTTTACTTTATATTAATGATATTGTTGATTGTGTTTCTCATGTAATTCAACTGTTTGCTGATGACACTTCACTGTATGCTGTAACAGACGATAATCCAATCGAATTAGCACAAAACCTAACAGATGATCTCAGTAATATAAAACTCTGGCCTAATAAATGGGATATTAAATTTAATCCAAATAAAACAGAATCTGTTATATTCTCTGAAAAACTGAATACTCATCACCCAAATGTTTATTTTTATGATGAACCTGTTACTGTCAGCCGAACACATAAACATCTTGGCTTGACATTCAGTGGTAACGCTAAGTGGAATTACCACATTTATGATATTTACCAAAAAGCATACAACAACAAAACATGTTTTAAGGATGATGAAACATAAACTAGACAGACAGTCATTAAACACAATGTATACATCATATATTAGACTCATACTAGAATATGCAGATGTTGTTCACAAAATCTAAAAACTTGTTTAGAGTCAGTCCATCTAGAGGCTGCAAGAATAATTACAGGACTGCATAGAGGCACCCCCCACCCCCCACAATATCTTGTACAAAGAATTAGACTGGGCACCTCTTGAAAGTAGGAGAAAACAACATAAAATGGTGCTGATGTACAATCTGAAAGAAATCACTGAGTCACATTTTCATGATCCCACACTAGCTAGGCATCCCCTTAGATCAGTTACAATATTTTATCCTCCTCTTTGTCGAACTATTCACTATTCTAATAGCTTTTTTCCATCCATGTTTAATGAAATAAATAATATCGCTTCAGACCTTCAAAATATTCGTTCCGCCTATCAGTTCAAAAAGTTAATAACACCTATTCCAAATTCAAACACAAGAACAACTGATGTCTTTAAGTTTTTAGGAAATCGGGAAACTAATATTATTCTTTATCAGTTGCGAAATGAGGCCAGTAACCTAAATACCTCCGTCAGAAAGATTATCCTCTGCAAGTTCTTGTGGTTCAAGATTTAAAACAGCATCTCATTACTTCCATGATTGTAAAAAATACACTGAAGATCGTATTGTACTTTTTCAGAATATATTCCATGAATCTCACAACCATTTATCATTAGATGTCATGCTTAATGGATGTGAGAGATGTGATGTGATGAAAATGAAAACAAACATATTCTCCTATCTATATCCAAACAAAACATTTCAAGTTCTAGAAGATTCAGGAAAATTAACTAAAATTTTGAATGAAATTTTACATTTTATCTATTTTTTCTCATAGTAATTCTTCTGATTTCCAAAAATGGTACATGAATATTAATATTAATATTTCCTATTTGTCTTCTTTTTGTTTATTTTTAAATAGTAATTAATAGTGAGGGGACGGGGGACTGGGGTTCAGAAGACCAGTTATACTATTTTAAAAAAATATAGGGAAACAACTACATAAATAAGAATTTAAAGCTTTAAAACATGTTGATTATATATCCAAATTGTGTTTAATATGCATACATTAAACTATTTGGTGGGATTCAATTTCCAAACTCATCAGTGGATGACCTTGTGTGATACAATGGACTTTTTGGCCTGTATCTGTTGGGTGCGGTAATTTAATCCCATCAAATGTTTATACATGCAGCTCCATCAACAAATTATTTTTCTTTTCTCTTCATAATATATTGTATATGTCTTTTCGGTATCAAAATAAAAGGTTAGAATTTAAACCATAAGATTCAATTATAATAAAAATGGGTATTAGTAGTTGTTTCACCCTAATTTAATTATTATTAATTTGATAATACCAACTTGTTTATATGTGTGTGTATGTGTTTTAATGTCTATGTCTATCCTTGTACCACTGTTTGTTACTGTGTTTGGAGAGGGTTTAAATAGGCTTTTCCTGCTGCCCAATCCATTTGTCCTTTATTGAAATTGAAAAGATGTATGTACCTATACGCCTAAGGGCTTTTGGCTAATTAAGAATGAATGAACATATTTGTCTTAAAGAGTAGCCATTGTCACCTATACTTAATTATGATGGAATTACATTTATTAATAGTATTGTTTCGCTTTCATTGTTTTATTATTTTATAATATTTTTTTTTTGTTATTTACTTATTTTGATTTTTGCTACATTTCATGGTTTTGTTTATTTATTTTGTTTATTCATTACTAGCAACAAATGATATGCAAATTAATATCAAATGATTTATTCTTTTCATTTTAGGCAAAAACAATGGCAGAAATTATGCTTTTTCTATTAGCCCTAGCGTGCGGACTAGTTCAAGGAGAATGGAGCGCTCCAGATAGCATACCGATACCTTGTGGGAAAAGCACTTGTGACATTTGGACAGAATACTGCCATTTCAAGACGTGTATGAAATGTAACACCGACGTTTGCAGCATGTCATTGAGTCCGGGAGGCAGACCAGTGCAGTGCTACTTTTATTGTATGGACGGTGAGGCTTACAAATTCAAACTACGACTCTAATTAATGTTTACCAAATGAAGTAGAAAACAATAATGGGGTAATATCATTATCAATATCATTTCTTATCCTTGAATACAAGCATAGTTCATAAATTGTCTTGACAATATGTAGGAAAACCCTTGATCTCAGCTTACACATGTACAGACATTTTTAGATTAGATTAACAAAAATGATTGATAATGTTGTTTGAAAACCATTTTGTACATTTTTGTTAATCTAACAAATACTCATACCCAGCGTAGCTTGTTGAAAGTTTAGCGAAAAGCTTAGCTTTAGTATAGGATCAAGCTTAGCATTATCTTTATCACTGCATTCGGGCACTCATGTCTTTGAATTTGATATCAATGATGATATCCATAAAAAGTTTAATCAGTAATGCTGCAGATATCACCCTGTGTGTCCAAAGTTGAAAACTTCCAGCTTATCAGTCTGAACCTATCAATGATATTGTGACAAAAATGGTCTGATCATACATTTACTTCAATAAAACTCTGATAAGAAAGCCCAGAATGTTTTTGCACATAATTAATGTTTGCCTGTAGAATTTCACAATAACGATCTTCTCTGTACCTTTAAAATAGTTTTGGTTTTACATTTGGCGTTTTACGCTTTACAATAAAACTGCAAACATCCCAATTTTTCATGTGATCGTTATTTGTTTCAGTTAAGAAGATGATGCAGTTGAAAGGTAGGTTGACATAGATGATGCATACTCTTAATAATATTACACATCACTTCAATATGGACATAATCTTCCATGTTTAACTGTTGACTTAGAGATAATTTGTATTGGTAAACTAATTCGCCTTGTACTTCTGGACATGATTTGGATAACAAAATTAAAAAATGTCCAAGTTGTTATAAGTTAACATGTTTCTCGGATTGTGTCACACAGAGAGTTTCATCATTCCTTCCTTTGAAAAAAAATCAAAAGTCGTTTTAAAATTCGCCAAATGTAGTTCGGGTGTAAGTTTGTTTCCTCAGTTCTGGTTCTGATATGTTCATAGTAGAATTTCAGCATTTGCTTACTTGTTTTACATAAACAGTTCTTGAAGAAACCACATCGCCTGCGCTACAAACTTCAACTGACACCTTTACTAAAGCACCAGGTAAGTTGTTGCCATCAGCAATACAATACAAGAACACCAGTTTAAGCGATATAACAAGAACAAGGTGATAGGGACTAATAGAATTGCTCACCCCCTGGGGATGAGATAGGGCATCTCAAACCGAGGGGGGAAATTCCTAAGTTGCCAAACACGAGAATCTTTCCCAAATGGTTGCGATTCCCAATCTCACCTTAAGGGGGTAAATGATTCTTTTTCTCTTATCCTGTTCATCCATTGTGTATCATATATAATATGAAATAGTTGCTACCTAGAGAAGAACTCATAACAAAATTATACTGTATACATTTTAATCTATTGAATAAAATAGTGGAACCACCTGATAATAGTTTTAGAGTAAACATTGCTATTTTAGATGATATCGCATCGCACACAGAGGTTCAATTCTTGTAAGTTTATAATTGAAAGCCGCTGGTACATTATATAATTTCATGGAATAAAAAAGTCGTGTGTCCCTATGCAATGTAGTATGGACCATAATTAAATGATCGTAATGACTATATGTGTTACGGTATATTACGGTATTTTATGTTAAAGAGAACGTTAGCCGAATTAATTATGTATACCAATGTAACAGGAGAGGAAAAAGGCATGACCAGACCGGTGTTCGAACCCGGGACCCTCCGAACTCTAGAAAGACGCTCTAACAATTGAGGTATCTGGTCGCCGACGATCGACCCAGTCCAGTTCCGCTACATTCCTCCCTCCTTTTTCTAAGTCTTCTATTAGAATGATTTGATTAGTACAGTATACATACGGTATAGGTCAATTCGGCTCCTCATGATAATTCCGGTGTAGAAGTCATTTCTTTACCCGACATAGGCTAGCTGATTCTTTCCCCGGGGAAGAAAGAGGCTAGCTGATTTTTTTCCCCGGGGGAATGAATCAACTAGATTATTCTTACCCACCTCTAGTTAATGCTTTTGTCTCGCTGATTCTTTTCCCCCTCTTTATAAGGTATTTGGGGGGAAGTTATTGACTAGCCGATTCTTTCCCTATCTCTGTGTTAGCAACTAGGGGAAAACTATTTACTAACTGATTCTTTCCCTCTCTCTGTGTAAGTAACTAGGGGAAACTATAGGCTAACTGATCTTTTCCTCTATGTATTAGTAACTAGGAGGAAATAATTGGATAGCTGATTCTTTCACCCGTCTCCATTAGTAACAAGGGAGAAACTATTGGCTAGTTAGCTAATCCCCCTACTGGATTAGTTTACACGGAGAAGAACTATTATGGGCTAGCTGATTCTTTCCCCCTCCGTATTACTTTACAGGGGGAATTATATTAATTAGCAAATTCGTTCTCCCTCTCTATATTGAAAAAGGGGGAAACTATTGGCTAGCTGATTCTTTCCCGGTTCTGTAATAGTAACTAAAGGGGAGGGGGAACTATTGGCTATCTGATTATTCCCCCTCTCTGTATTTGTAACAAGGGGGTAACTATTGGCTAGCTGATTCTTACCCCCCTCTGAAATAGTAACTAGGGGGAAACCATTGGCTAGCTGATTCTTTCCCGCTTCTGTAATAGTAACTAGGGGGAAACTATTGGCTATCTGATTAGTCCTCCCTCTCTGTATTATTAACAAGGGCGAAACTATTGGCTAGCTGATTCTTACCCCCTCTGTAATAGTAACTAAGGGGGGGGGTTACTATAGGCTATCTGATTATTTTCCCCCTCTCTGTATTAGTAACAAGGGGGAAACTATTGACTAGCTCATTCTTTCCCCCCTCTGTAATAGTAACAAGGGGGAAACTATTGGCTAGTTCATTCTTAACCCCCTCTGTAATAGTAACAAGGGGAAACTATTGGCTAGCTGATTCTTTTCCCCTCCTCTCTGTATTAGCAACAAGGGGAAAATTATTGGCTAGCTGATTCTTTCCCCTCCTCTCTGTATTAGCAACAAGGGGAAAACTATTGGCTAGCTGATTCTCCCCCTCTGTGTTAGCAACTAGAGGGAAACTATTGGCTTGCTGAGTCTTTCCCCCTCTGTATTAGTAACTAAGTGGTG